CAGTTCCCGTCCCCGTTAATGCGCCATGCATGTAAAGCAAATCCCCAATCCGGATGCAAATGCGTGTTTCAAGCACAGAGTCCCGCCGTGTGTCGGCCGAGTCTCTTGTTTTTTGTTGCTGTTTTGTTCTTTATTTGTCTGGCCGGTGCGAGGCGACTAGCCCATCCTCATACTCTTCCTCTTGTTGGCGAACCCGCTGAGGATCCGACTCCTCGTATTGCCCGCGGGCGAGCTGGGCGATACCATGGTAGGAGTGGATGGGGTCGGGGGCTGGTTCTGCGCGTTCTTCTTGGCCGCGCGCATGATATCGTGGTAGCTGACCGAGGACCAGGGGCTGTTGAGGGCCTTCTCCGGCACCTCTTCCCTAACGTCCGTCGTGCTGGAGGGCAGCGACAGTTGGTCCCGTGAAGAGTTGTTGGCGGCCAAGTCTCTAAGCTGCGGGCGACTGCGCTTCCGGACGATGCTCAGTGTCCTCTTGAAGAGCTGCGAGGTAGGGGTCTTGGGCCTCTCGGGCCGCTCAGCATCCGGATGACGCTCATCCACTCGCTCATCGAGGGGCTTGCTGGCGTAAGGGTCGACGTTCAGGAACGCAGGCCTCTCTTTGGGAAGCATGCTGGCGGTGATCATCATGCTGCTGGACCTAGGCGGGTGGTGGATGGGAGAGTAGGAGGCTCCCGTGGCGGGCGATGTCGACATCCTTCGCAGCGCGGGTTCTGTTGTTGAGATGGCGAGGCGGCTCAGGGAGCGGGAATCGGCCGACTCTGGCGTTGGCGATCTTCTGGTGGAGGGGAGGTCGATAATGGAAGGCTTTCCGGAATAGATGACAGACACGACGCGTGCCGTGTCCTCGTGGCTCTTGCGAATGGGCGAGTCGGCCGACTCTGCGCTCTCCAACTCGTAGTCGTAGTCGGAAAACTCGTCGGCGGAAGAGGAAGCCTCCTCTTCGGAAGAGAGGTAGATGTCTTGGGGGGCGGACTGTGCGGGTTGGTTGGTGATGATCTTGAGGGCCATGCTGTCGAGGAGCCTGGAAGCCCTCAAGGAGCTCTTGGCGGGTAGGGCGGGTGCGCTCTGTTGCGGTGGCTGGTTCTTCTTGGGGGAAGGGCCCGTCATTTCGGCGTAGTAGTCGCCGTACATCTTTTCCGTCTCGTTCTCGTTGAAGGTTTCGTCGTTGTATACGGGCGGGCGCGGAGCGTTGGGAAGCGAATCTCTGTAAGAGGTCCTCTGCGATTGCTGGGAGGTGACACCGTCCTGGCGGGTGTTGGAATGTGAGGGTTCCCTGACGGGCATAGACTGGGTGGCCAGAGACATGGCGGGTGGTGACGGCATTCTCGATCTCCCTCGGGGAAATCTAAGACTGGGCCGGTTTCAGTCACGTAGGGTAGCTGGTCTACAGCGAACAGTAGCCGCTGGGTAGTAGTCGGTTGTTTGGCGGTATAGTTAGTTGTATGGTGTGTGAGTATGTGTGAGTGAGTGATTGAGTGTGTGAGCGTGTGTGTGTATATATGTGTAAGTGTCCAGACCTGTTGACTGGGACAAAACACCAAGCTATTTGGAGGGATGATGAAGAGAGGGAGCAAGAGCAAGAGCACCTAGAGGTGTGTGAGAGGTAGGAGGGCATGCAAGATATTTTAATGGACGAGTCGGTCTGGGTCAGAAATGGGTCGGGGGGGACAGGTTAGGATATGTCGGTTCGGGAGGTGGTAGAACATGAAGGGACGGGGGGTACAGCATAGAATGGGGATTGGGGGGGGGGGGGGTGGTGAGTTTGGGAACTGGAGGTGTGTGGGTGTGAGATGAGTAAGAGAGAGAGAGAGAGAGAGAGAGAAGATGGCATACAGATAGATACCTAATGTTTAGTAGGTATTCGTGGAGAGTAGGGATGTAGGTAGGTACGGAGTAGGAATAGAGTAGGAATAGAGAGAGAAGAGCAGAGCAGATGGACGAAGTGGAACAGCCACAGCACGAGCTGCTCCTGCTCCTTCTCCTGCTCCTGCTCCTCCTGCTCCTGCACTCTGCACCTGGCCCATGCCACTTTCCCCTAGTCTCGATCCTGGTCAGGTCCTCACCCTGAGATGATCCACTTTGGTACGGGGACCCCAGTGTTGGCCTTTTTTGATTGACACGGTAGACAAGACAATGGAGGCAGGGGCTGGGCTCAAGTCCCCACTAGTCCCTGTCGCTCCTCCCTCCTCCTGTTCGCTTCGGAAGATGAGGTACGTACTTGTCCTCTTTGAGGCTTTCTTTCATTCTTCCTCTCCGTCATGCCCGTCTTTCTCTCTTACTCTCTACAGAGTATCTAGACCATGCCGGCCAGCCAGCCAGTCCATCAAACAAACTGTTTGCCTTTGAGCCTGTGACTCTCCACATCCTCGCTTTCTCTCTCCCTCTCTCTCTCTCTCACTGCCGGTCTCGCCTCCAAGGCCTTACTCTATCCGTTGTTGTGGTTCGGGGGGGGGGGGGGGGGGGGGGGGGGGGGTATAAACAATAGAACATCGAGGTCGTCTCTCCCTCAAAGCGGTCGAGAGGACAATGTCGTCTCCCACCACACACCCCACGAGGGAGGCGCCCAAGACGCCTTCCAGTCCAGTCCAGTCCTGTCCTGTTCTGTTCTGTCCCATTACCAAAGTACACAACGGGAATCAACCTACCTACCAACCTACCTACCTAAGGCTACCTAGTAGGTAGGCAAGGTAACCCTATCCCAACATCCTATCGGCCTGCCATCTTCCCACCACCACCATCACCGCCCTCTCCTCTCCTCTCATATGTGCTGTTTCATGTAAAAGATACCAATCGACGACGCCCATCTATCTCGGATCAGTGCCTCTATTAACTAACCCATCAGCTCCACGAGTGGTGGATAGCGTTTTTGCTTCACTGCATGTCTAGCCGACCTCCCCAGACTGACACGAGAGACGAAAGCGAACGGGGCGCACCCATGGCCCTCGCCATAGTCTCTCGTGTCGTCGCCGTGGATTGGAGCGAGGAACGAAGGGGTGAAAAACCTTGTCCAGTGTCGTTTGTCGGCAATTCACTTGAGTCCGTGAGCCTCGTTCTCCTCCACTGCTTGCTTGTTGTCGACATAACTATCCCGCCGGCAAATGACCCCACACATGTTGTCGCTCACAGGCGACCGGGGATGGCTGGTCACACCCACACGCACACGGCCTCACCACCAGCAAACTCTACGCCACCAGGCGAGGCGGTGGCAGGGATTGGCTTTGCTGTCCAAAAAGGACGACATTCCGTCGTGATTCGACGGCGGAGAAAAAGCGCTGACCAAGCCCGGGGGTGGTCGACGAGAACGCAAGTGTACTCTGTATGTGTGTGTGTGTGTGTGTGTGTGCGTGTAGGTATGTGTATGTATTTCTCCGTCCACCACCACCACCATCACCACCACAACCTCCTCTTCCTACTCCCTGCGTGATTGGAAGGTACCTCTCGTCCCTGGTGTGGCCTCGAGATGGCCTACCTGATTGTGCTCGATGCTCATTTGCCGTCATGTCGTGGTGGTGCCGCCGCCGCCGCCGCCGCCGCCATCGCCAGCCGCCCTGTATCGGCAGACCAGAAACGGCCGTCGGAGCCTAACGCTACTTCGTCCTGTCTGAATTAGGGGGGCGAACCTTCTTCCCACCAGCATGAAAATATCCAGCGTGACTCTCATGCGACCCGACGGATGGTCCTCTTCCCGCCGGAACCCAAAGGGAGAGAGTAAATGCAGTGCCGGCCACGAGCAGCTACGATTGAGGGAGAGAAACGAAACCCAATGTTTCGGTCTCATGGCGGAACATGGCTTGGCCCCAGGCTCTCTCTCTTGTCTACCTGCAGGGTGCGAGCCACCGTGGAGAAGCCTGGAACAAGTAACCCCTCCTGTCCTTGGCAGTCGGCGATTCTTGTGTACCGGTATGTATGCATGTACATCATGTGTGCCAGTGTGCCAGGAAAAGAAAAAGCAATAAAGAATGAAGCATTGCGAACTGGTGGTCTGAACAGCCGAGCGTGCCTGGTCTAACCGCCCAGGACCATGGTCGCCTGGCACACCGGGCGTCCTGGGGGATAATCAACTCGATTTCAAATGAAGGGGGGGGCACGGCACGAGACGACACGGGCTACACAAGCCTATCGGACGCAATCAAGATCAATCAGTTGGATAACATGAAGGGGCCGGCGGGTGGGTGCTATTCCGCAATGCCTCGCCGCTATCCCTCTCTTCTGGGAATGGCGCCGGAAAGCCAATATAGAGCGGCAATTACAATGTAGATACGTGCAGTCCAGCCGTTCCTCACGTGCCCCCCCCCCCCCCACGAAACGGCATGAAGCCGGTGGGAAAAGGGGGAGAAAGTCTTGGAGGGGGGAAAGTCTTGGAGGAGGAGGAGGGCTTCATCGCGCGCGCCTTCAAAGCCGCCGTGACATGCTCAACCGAACGGATTCCTGGCCGCAGACCTGGGCCCGGTATTTCCTGCGTGCCGTGCAGCGATGGCGATGCAAAGTGCGAGAAAAGAGACACAGCCATATGCCCATGTCTCACAGGAACAACGACGAGCATGTCGACATGTCAGTGGACGGGTGCGAGGCACGGAGCGTTGCATCGCCAAAGTGACAAGACGTCGGGTCGGCAGGAGGCCCTACGGGACGCACGAATCACGTCGCCTAGACGAGGTGCTCTGGCCGGGCAGATTCCATTTTCTCTGCTCCGCCGTATCTGCCAGATGCAGGTTTTTCTTCTTCTTCCTCTTCATCCCCTTGAACGAACGAGTGCCAGACCGACATTTGAACCATGTCCCCATCCGGACATGACAACACTCCCGTTCAACCCCGGTTCGATCCGCAGTTGGAGCGTGTCGATTCCACCCCGACGATAAGAGATGCGTCCGCAGCAGCAAGCAGAGTGAGCGTGCGTGCAGGGCCATCCGAAAAACGTTTCCTCGTAGACGGCAAACCTCGCCCTTGCAGCGACGACACGCGGTAGAAGGGATGTTTCTTCACTCCCTGCAGCCGCCATGCCCGTCCGAGAAACATGGTCAAACTCGAAGCGCGTCATTGAGTCCAAGGGTCGGAACGGCCGCATTTCCACGGTTTCTCTGTCACAGGTCTGCCGGTTCCAAAGCTCTTTGGGCCAGTCACGGCCGCGAGAACGGGTGGCACCCCCCTGCCGTTCGTCCGATGTGTACGGATATGCTGCGACAGACAACGTCGAGACGGGCCATTCGCTCAGCGGTTCCAGGGCATGTGTGTCTGCGGCCGTCACTGGACGAGAGCTGTCGATTTAAAGCTGGGGACTGCGGAAACGCACACAAACCCAAAAAAGCCAATACTGCGTACCAGACACTCCTGGCGGCTTGCGTGCTTCATTTCGCCATAGCAAAACCCTGCCACCGCATGGCGATTTGTTGCGGGACGCCTGCGGGCACAGAGCATGGCTGGTGACGCGACGGTTTCCGGACAACGATCGGAGCCAGGTAACCCACGCCCGTACGGCACTCCGTCTCTCTGTCCGGAGAAGCATCGCACAGTGTATGAGGGATGGGGCGGAGTCCTACAAGATGGATGGCAACGCTCATGCGTGTTTGCCGCAGCATTTGAAGAGAGAGGGGGGGGGGGGGGACAGAAACAAAGAGCTCTGCTACCTGTGTGGCGATACGATATGCAAAAGGCCCCATCGCTGGTGCTTGGCGGCGGTAACGGGGCCAGCAGCATCCATCCATCCAGACATCAGTACATACGAGAAAAATAGTCAATCAGCCCATGTTGTGCCGTCAGCCTCCTTTCCTAGTTCAGACCAGCCTGATACTGGCAGACGGCAAGTTTGACATGGAAACTCTTAGTTGGCGGGAGGTGGTGCTTCGGAAGATGCGATGAAATCCGGCACCACGGATACATGCGTGTTTCTCGCCTCTCTCTCTCTCTCTCTCTCTCTCTCTCTCTCTCTCTCTCTCTCTCTCTCTCTCTCTCTCTCTCTCTTTCTCTCTTTCTCTCTCTTCTTCTTAGCCCCGGGGGGAAAACTCGCAGCATTTATCGACTCCAAGTTTCTCGTTTGTCGTCGGTCTTTTCTTAACAATCAACAACGGGCCATTTCCCCTATCCCTTGCTTGCGAACCCTCGTTTTCCTTCCGTTCCTTTTCAACCGCCTCAACGGTCGCGACTCTCGGCCCAACTGTCTCTCTCACGACCATGTCCGCCTTACAGTCTCATTCCCCGACTCCCTTGCAGGTGGCTCTCAGGCGGTGGGCATGTCGCGGCCAAGATAAGCTGGCCCGCCCATCCTGGTCTGCCATATCCCCACAGACAGTCGCCTTTTGCTCGAGGGTGGGGTCACGGAGCACCTTCTGCCGCCTGATGCAATTCAACGTTTTCTCGACGGGGCCACTCGCCAGACTCCATCGCGGCAGCCTCGAAGATTTAATTCCAGCCACAGAAGTGCCACCACGCCAACGGCTATGCGAGATGATGCTAATCCACATGGAGGGAGCATGGCGCTGGTCCGAGAACGCAACGGAGCCCTCTTTTCTCTCTTTTTCTCTCTCGCACTCTCTCTCTCTCTCTCTCTCTCTCTCTCTCTCTCTCTCTCTCTCTCTCTCTTTTTTTTTTTTTTTCCCTTTCTTTTTTCCTTCCAAGGGCACAGAAGAGTGGCCTCTGCGGATTGTCTTACGTTCTCACGTACCTAGTGTACACCACGGCGGTCCGAGCAGCAGATGCTTTCTTCTTCAACCCGTGCCGAACGGCAGCGCTTGCGGCGCCGCGTGGGGAGGTGGTAATTGCGAGTTGATGGTCATCGACGTGGCCTGGCCTACATAGTGCAGCAGCAATCACGCAATCACACCCGATGATCGGCGCGGACACGTCTTGGCCCCATACCATGATGCGTCCGACGATTCGCACGGTATCGTTGGGGGTGAAAGGGGGGGGGGGGGTGCCATGATCCGACACGTACGGCTGTCGATGAAGCTGTCAAAACTCGGCAGTCGGGTCTGTCTACTACTCCTCGAAACTCGACCGCCGTGTTGGGCTTTGTGTGATCACCGCGGGATTCCAACAATGACACACGTCCCGCAACGCTTACCCCTGACGCCAGGGGGGGAGCCGGGGGGGATCGTAAACAAATTATCGGATCGCGGCAACCCAACCATGACTTATACTTTCCCCAGCGGGTGACGGATGCTGCTTCTTCCAGGCCAGCCTTACGTTGCTCGCTGTCTCATCTGTCTTGCCGCCGGCCGAGCCGTCGTGGTCATTGGACGGGGACAAGGCAAGCGCTACGCGATATACCTAGCATCACGACTTGCGCGTCCGCTACGTGATGTACTGTTTCAAAGCGCCCGGGTTTGCACACAGAGGCGTCGCTGATGACAACTGACAAGGTCACAGCATGACACTGATTCGCGCGCTCCGTTCTTACCCGGGTGCTTGGAGTGCATGCGCCATCGCCAGAGTCTTGGCCGTCAGGTCACCGGGCAATTATAGATTCAACGCGGACCCCACTTCGGCGCCGCGTGGTGTGGGGCCGTACTCCGTCCGAGTCGTCCCTTACCGATTTGAGATGACGCCAGTCCCGTGTCTGCGGCTAGAGTGGCTCTGCATCTGCCGCGCAGAGAAACGAAACAGAAGGCTACTCGAACCCTAATCGACTGGCCCCCACCCAACACCGTCTTCCCTTCCGCATGCTGACATTAGACGTGCCATGTGCTCGCTAGGGCCGAGGAGGGCCACGATCGGGACTTGGGGTAGTCTGGTGATGTTAGGGGCTATGCAGGTTCTCGATCCCTATCAATACCTGCCCTATGCGGGCGTCCTCTGAGGTCGGATATCGTCTCGCCCAGAGAGGCTTGACGGTTTTCCTTTTTCCTAGTTTCGTCTCCCAGCTGCGCCAATGCTATGCTATGCTATTCTTGCATAACTGGCCGATCAAGCGTCACAGTCCAAGATGATCTTTTAGGCACGACCTTAGTCTTGTCTACCTAAGCCGCGCAGGAGTGCACCCAGACTGACCCTGCCAGAGACCCACCCCACTACGCTATGCGCTTATGGGTATTGGATAACGAGAGCTGGACATGGCGAGTGAGTCTCACCCCCCCCTCCTCCTTACACTATACAGAGGCAAAGATATTGACGAGCAAACTTTGTCAGCCGACAATGAGATGAGATGAGATGCTCTCTCTTAGCGCAAGTCGTGTGGTAGGCGATGTCAAATCTTGGAGGCTCCCTCCCGGGCAGTTCGTTTCAAGGCCTCGGCTGGCTGTGGCTCATAACTTGCCCTTGTTCGGATAGCTGACCAATGAGGGATATATGATGCTGACGAGCATGCGGTGCTGACAGGCAACTGCGCCATTGCCAGCCTCTCGGGACCCTGTGTGCATACGGTGGAAGATTACGGCGTCTTCCTGCACTGTCTGGAACATGTACCTCGTCGTTAGTAGTAAAGCGGACATGGCTGATACGCGAGGCTATATGGTGTTCCCGCCGTGGTTCGAAACGCAGCATCGCCGCGTCTGTGCTTCTGGACCCACGTAGCAGAAGCAGAAGCAGCAGCAGCAGCAACACCACCACCGCCGCCGCCGCCGCCGCCGCCGCCGCCGAGATGCGCAACTATGGTGCTGCCAGGAGGAAGATATCCGCCGCAGCTTAGGCAGCATGGCTGACGGTCCGACCTATCGCATCCCGCGTCGTCGCGACGGCTAAGGCGACCTCGCAGCATTGAGAGAGGGCATTCGCCCGCGATCTGAAACGGCGCGAAACGAGCTGAACCGAATGGAATCCCACGTTGGGGGGTTGCACTCGTCTCGTTGGTCCCGCACCGCGCCGCCGCCGCCAACAATCCAGGGCGGCATTTCGGGTCGTCATGCATTGATTGTGTGTGCGCAATGTTGGCATGGCGGGAGGCCCGAAACAATATCGACTCCGTTTCTCCAGGTATGAAACGGCGACCTTTTTTTCGAACCCGGTCCACCCTCCTTCCACCCAGTACTCCGTACTACCATATACATAGTGTGCCGCGTACTATGATGCGGCAACGATGAGTCCGAAGAGTGGGAATGGAAAGGGGGGGGGGGGGGGGGGGGGGGGGGTCCACTTGGATCGGGAGACAACGCCTCTCCCCCCCCCGGGTGGCCCGTCTCCGCCTCCGCATCGACCCGCGCGCCCCCTTCCCCGCGTCCGTGAAGTGTATGTAGTGGTTCCGGCAGTGCACCGCGTCCGGGTCGCCGTGTTGCAGCCGTCTCCACATAACAGACTGCAAACCCCATACATGTGTGTATGTAAGCAGCATGTACCGTACGGTACGTAGATGGTTTTTTTTTACAGATGGAAAACTGTATCTCAGAAAACACGTGACATCGGGTGGAGGAACTGCTGCGATATGACATCACCCCTGCAACACCCACTCTACCCCCCCACACACTTCTGCATCCAGCCCAACCGCCAACCACCAACCACCGCCAACCAAACCGTGGCACGACGTCACCTCACGCCTAAGTTTGCTGGACATCAGTCAGGCTTTATCGAGGTTCTGGCCTGTTTTCAAGAGAGAGACAAGACAATTAGACTTTTTACGTTTCGCCATGCTTTCAAGACACGCGGCAACCTCGCGACAGACAACATAGGGTGTGCATACTGCAGTTTAGGCGCGAACTGCATCGTGACGTCGCTTATCTCGGCACCCCCCCCCCCCCCCCCCCCTCGCATGCCCGCAAGCAACGTCTGCCCGTCGTGGGTTTCTGCTTGGGATCAAGTTCTGGAACGTTCGTGCATCGCCTCCAAGCATCATGGGGGAAGTGGAAGTAAAAGGGGGGGGGTTCCAGAAGATACATCATCGTCTGCCAACTTTCTCATCCCGCATTCGGCCCTCGACGAACCCAACCTTGCGCCAGGCCGAACTGCAGGGTCCGACAGGGGGGGTGGGGGGCAAGGAGCTGACGACATGGAACTCTATCTCTGTCCTGCTTTTTGTTTTTTGCATTCTCGAGGTCGAGCAGTTGCAGTACTAAGGTCGACTGATCTGCGGCGCGGGACAACTTGTTTCTGGTGCTGCCCAGAGCTGAATCCCTCCCCTCCATCCTTCCTTGTTCCCTGTAGTGGCGGGGAACGCGTGCGTAAGTTGCCAGAATTGAAGTAAGCAACCAGCCCGCGAAAGAGTTCTTGCTTGCAGGGCGTCATCGCGCAAGATGCAGTTGGGGGAAGGGGGGGGCGGTCTCGTTGCACAGGATGAGGTCACACAGTACACCATACATTGTCTTGATGTACCTCTCTCTCTCTTCTTTTCTTCTTTTTTTCCCCCTCTGTACACAAGCCGCATCCATCAGGGGACCTGAGCTGGGGGGGATCATGGCTCGCTTATCGGAAAGTGTGCTACTGACGCAATATCGGGATCACGCGAAGCGCCTGTTCCTGGTTCACAGGTTTGGCATGTCGAACGTCCGTCATGGCTTCTCGGTGGGTACCGTCGCCGGGAGGGGGGGGCTTCCATCTTCCCTTGTGCTTCCGAAGGTGCAACGCGTCTGGCCTTCGGAATCGGATGCCGTGTACAAGCGCCCTCCGGTGTGAGGCACCATGTCGCGGCCCGTTCCTGACGGTGTCTCACCGCCACGGCCAATATTGGACATGTCGAAACACGTCGCGGGAAGCAACGGGAAGAGAAACATATGTTGTATCAACCAGTTCTTCCCCCCCCCCCTCCCCGTGGGTGTCATGCTTCTGGAACCACGCCTGTGAGACATCTCACCGTCTTATTGGAGGTCTCGGTCTCGGTCATACAAGACCGGCATATCGACCCCGAGGCTTGAGACAACCCCGACCTGGTGACGAGAAAGACCCTTTCTGTTGGTTAATTAGCTCCAACAGCATTGTTCGTTGTTGTCCGCATCATCTGAGACAGATGCTCTGTGAGTCTCTTTGATTCCGTAGAGCCCGGTATTCGCGGGTAGCGTCTCTGCCTGGTTGGTGTCAGTATGTCGCCTTTGCTGCTGGGGAGGGGCCAGAGGAGGCGATATCAGTCTCTTTTTTTTTTCTTTTTTTTCTTTCTTCTTTTGCATGCAGGGAGCTCTTAGTGTCTCCCATAGAACTTTGGGTATCGGGCGAGTCCATAAGCCAAATGCAAAGCGTATTTCTGTAAGTGTCTGCTTGAGCTTAGCCCTCGGCCTCAGTCGGCTCTGGTTATGTCGAAAGAGCCCCTCTGTCCAACTGGAAGTAGATGTAAGTAGACAATTCGTCCTGGGGCAGTTGGGGACTCGACTCGAGAGGGTAGTTCCAGAAGACTTACGGGAAGTGGATCGTCTTTGAAGCAGCTAAATAGAAGTTTGTTTTGAAGGGTTCGTACTGAACAGGGATGTTAGCCGTAAATACCTGTCGAGCGCAGGGCTGGTTAATAGTACAAAGTGTATCCTTATATTTGGGACTTGTTGAACTTACCTCGTATTGGTACTGGATCCTATAGAAGTTTTCAAGTGCGAGAGTCGGGCTTGAATGAAGCTTGAGGACTATCTGCACGCGTGTACGCGCGCGCAAATGGGGAATGGCGACGTGAGACCGCTCGTCGACAACGAGTCGCCCGACGTGGCCATCATCAGATACATTCCATCAAGAGTACTTTTCGCATAGCAGATCACGTCCTCTACAGCAAAGCGGAACTGACGAGTAACAGTAGTAGAACCCCATGGTCAAGTGTTGCCCACTTTCTGATCTGCGCAAAGCACCCACAGTGGCGTCAGTGTGTGGTACGCCAAAGACCGCCCTCCTTCTCGGCCGTCGAGCTCGCGAGGCGTCTTCCTGTCTGGGGTGCTGGAAGGCACGTTTCCGAAAGTTCTACCGCCATTCTCCTCGAGGCTCAATCGTGGAGCAAGCAACCCGATAACAAGGCGCTCCCCCAGCATAGCGGGCTGTTTTGGTCCCTTTCGCTTTAACGAAGCCCGAAGCTTTGCTAGCCCCGCCCCCGGGCCGGGAGCCGATCCGCCCCGTGTTCCTTGACTTCGGAAGGATACGAGCTGGGAGGGCGAGACATTGTTTCCCGTCGGGACGTATTGTTGCCCTGTGCACTTTTCACTGGGTGTGAGATTGCCGGGCCAGAACGTGCTCCATTCGTCGCGAGTCCTCCCATCGAGAAGGGGGAGGACATTACTGTCCGGTCTTGTCCTACCTAGTTTTCAGTCATGTCACCTTCCGGAAAGATGACTGCATATATCCACAATGCGTGTCGGTGTTGCCTTGTTAGCCTTCTCATGGGAAATATTGTTCTTCCTCTCTCCTCAGACATGCAGTTCTAGTAGTTACTGATCGGTACCCCTCTCAGAAGGGTATGAATGCCTGCCCATCCTCCAGACATTGTGGGGTTTCTTCTCTTCATCCGTCTTCTCCACCTGTTCACACAGGGAACTGGCCGTGTTCCGTACGCTAATCGAAAGAGCGTGGAAATCATACGCACAACGGTCCCAACACGATGGATCATCGGTACCGATGTCTAAGGGGCTGCCGCCGAGAGCGACGAGCGAGCCCTCGCCGCCAGAGGAGCCGCCAGCCGAGAGGCCGGTGTCGTCGGGGCACACGGCGCGGCCAAAAGGGTAGTTGGCGCACTCGCCCGGCATGAGGTCCTGCGGCATGTTGGTTTTGCGGTAAAAGCGGGCGCCGGCGCCGGGTATGTAATGTGCCGGCGGTCAATTCAGAAACAAGGGCGTATCGAACAAGGGGGCGACAAGGGGGAAATGTCCAGTCCATCCCAGTCATGCCAGGCTTTATCTACAGTACACGTCCATCTAGCTCTCCATCCAATCTAAGCCATCCTATCCTGATTAAGGGTGTACGTCCGATGATGCCCCGCGGCGGCAGTCCGGCATCGCACGCACATGTATATCTATGTAGTCGCCCTGCCCGGTTGTCTGTCCGGACAGACGAGCTTAAAGTCAAAGTTTGTTCCGTCATTGCTTACTTAGGGACGCCAGTCAGTAAAAGAGGAAGAAGAAGAGAACGATGGCTCGATATCCGTCCTGCCCCCTGCCCGCTCCTCAGGCGACAGAGTCGTACTGGATGAGTCAGGCGGATGACCGCCTGAAAGACTATAACTCGTGAGTACAAGCAGAAACGGACGGTTCGCATAACGGGACTGACTGGCATTGATTGCACGGAGGCAGGGCGGACCGCTTGCCGACAGACGCCGATACCGTCATTATCGGCTCCGGCGTGACGGGCGTCCTCATCGCGCAGGAACTCTTGTCGCGCGCCGCCGCGACAGACTCGCGCAGACACGACGGCCTTGTCATGTTGGAGGCGCGGGCCTTTTGCAGCGGCGCGTCGGGCCGGAACGGCGGCCACATCAAGCCGGACTGCTACAAGCACTTCCTCGAGTTCCAGGCCCGCTACGGCACCGACGAGGCCGTGCGGCTCTGCCGCTTCGAGGTGGACAACATGCGCGCCACCGTGGCCTTTATCCGGGGCCAGCGTCTCGCCGACGTCTGTGACCTCGTGAAGACGCGCGCCGTCGACTTCTTCATGACCCCGGAAGCCTGGGCGGCCGCGCGCGAGTCCATCGCGGCCTACCGCGAGGCCGTCGGCGAGGAGCTCCCCGATATCCATCTCCACGAGCAGCCAGACCTGTCCCGTGAGGGTTTTCGCTTCCCCGGAGCGCTCGGCGCAGTGTCATATCCCGCCTGTAGTCTCTGGCCGTACAAGCTCGTGGCTGGCCTGGCCAACAGGGCCGTCGACGCCGGCATGCAACTGTTCACCCACACGCCCGCCCTCTCCGTCACACCCGCCGCACCGGCGGCCGACGGTAGCCCGCGGTGGCGCGTTGACACCCCGAGGGGGACCATCTGTTGCGCCAACGTCTTCCACGCGACAAACGGGTACGTGTCGCACCTCCTCCCCGGGTTCTCGGCAAAGATTGTCCCCCTCAAGGGCAACGTTGTCGCTCTGCCGCCGCCCCGGCCTTATGTCGACCGCACCCTAGGCCATACCGCAAGCATTCAGTGGGGCGAAGACTTTGACTACATGATCCAGCGCGAGGTGGACGGCAAGCACCTCATCTTCGGCGGTCGCGACCTCGCCCATCCACGGGGCTGCACCGCCCCCATCGGCGACTGGGACGACTCGACCACCACGCCCGACATCGTCCGCTCCCTGACAGAGTTCCCCGAGACGCACATGATGGGCTGGACCGGCGCCGGACCGCCGTGCTACGCCTGGTCCGGAATCATGGGCCTGACCCCGGATGAGCTGCCCTACGTCGGCGCCGTACCCGACTGCGCCGGTCAGTGGGTCGCCGCCGGGTACTCGGGACACGGCATGGCAAGGGCCTTCATGACAGTCCAGGCGCTGATCCAGCTCTTCGCCCGCGGCGATGTTGACTTGCGCGTGCCGGCCGAGTACTTTAAAATCGCCGAGAGGCTCGTTCGAAAGGACGACGAGTGGGATCAGATCCTGGAAAGAAATCTCGAAGCGAACCCTCCTCCAGTTGTGTAATAACCTGTAGCAATGAGCGTTGCCACCAGTCAGGAACCGGCCAAAGTATAGCCGTTGCTAGTTTAAAAAAAAAAAAAACACCATACAGACACGAAATGAGGCCCGAGGCCCGAGGCCTGGGGTAGAACATATACCCATCGGATGGACTCAAGACCCCGACACGCCCGGCCAAAGACGCTAGCTGATGAGCAACCTCGTCAAGTCACGGCGCGCACTGAGGGCTCAATACAAGGCCAGGCGAGCGGCAGGTAGACTCTCCGGTGTCGGCAGCACTGACGGATCGAGGAGGGCACTGGCTGGTCGTATCAACGTTGTCAACACTAAAGATTCTTCGTGATATGCCCGTATGCAAGCGAGCCGCGAGAGGCTGTAGCTTGACTGTACGGTACATCTTTCTTTTCCTACCTGGGTAGTTGAGCGGGTTGTTCGTCCATCTATCTCGTCCTCCGGGCTTGATGAGCACTTATTCCCACCCAACATAAGCCGGTGGATTCCCTATACACTAGGGAATATATTCTTTGTGATCAAGTCAATGAATTTTCGTGGAGCCCGCCAAACTATTACGTACGGGCGTTGTTCATATTCGGGACGCCGAGACGAGATATGGCGGCTCTACTTTGGCGGCGGTGGTGAAAGATGCAAACATTCGTCCAGGGTTCGTTGACTTTCTCAACCTCTTGATGCGAAGCCAAGGCAATATCCACATATCTATGAATAAAAGCGAAACTCCGCGTCTCCCTGCTTCGCACTTTATGTTTCCCGGAATGCCCGTCCTAACGCAACTTAAGAAGCAGCTAAACATGTTGCTTCTTCCCCCCTGCCCTGGATCGACTCTGATGGTAGTACACCACGGAAAACTTTGAAAACCGGGTGTTATCAACGCCAAACCTTGGCGTGTGATTTGAAGGTCTCTAAAAGTATTAGTATGGTGTAACCCTCAGGCGTACAGGTTGGCAGCTGGCTGAGTACATATATTAACAGTTAACTTGGCGTAATACCCTTGGTGTTAATATCCGAGATACACTACATAACCCCAGGTGATGACTACCAACCACCAACCACAAGAACGGGACACGGTCTTGTGCAAGCCTAGCCAGGCCCTCCTCTTCAATGCCTGATTTTGCGATATTGCCGTGCAGCTCAGAGCGTCGGCTCGGTCTCGTCCTCCGTCTGCTGTCGAGGAGGCTTCGGCTCACAGGGGAGAGCGCAATTCCGTGGAAACGACCCGTCTGGTGCTCATAAGGGTTCCCGACATACTTGAGACTCGGTTGGTGTGAAACGGGGGAAGACCCTCTCGTGATCAACCTCACCGATGAACGCCAAGCATCGAGGGACCTGCTGCCGTTGTTCTCGAGTCTCGTACGTTTTCGTGCGTTGCTAATATCCTCAGCACACGCGGACATCACAAGGATAAGATCTGAGCACGATTGAAGCAAATATTCTTGTTTGAAACCAGCCTCTGTACTCCGTTAAAAGAAAGGAAAAAAAGCTGTCGGGGTATAGTGTTGATACAAGCGTAGGCAGCATGAGGCATCCCAATTATCCCGGTGTGCCCCTTCCCGGAACAGACAAAACCCCCAAACTGAAAAGAATTAAGAAAAAAAAAAAAGAACTTGGGTTCGGTGTGAATTCTGGTTGGCCTTTTTCTTCCTTTCCTTTCCTTTTTTTTTGGTTTGTTTTTTGTGTGTGGTTGTGGGTGCTCTCCCCCCCACCCATCACCCGATATTCTCGTCCCTTTCCAAGCCTCGCATCGTTCGTCACGTCTCATCCCTCGCTACTCTCTTCCAGTAGTCCGTGACCTGGACAACCCTCCCGGTGTCCCTCGTCCATAGGATTCCGTAGTGGCTTTCTCGCTTACCGCCAAAGATCGGCCGACTTCTTTTCGTTGTTTGCTGTACTGGGTCTGGGCCACAAGTCTTCATCACTACCCCTGCTGCCGCCGGTGCTCTGGCTCGGTACGGCCATAAACATGCCTGCGCCGTTGCCCACCATGATACTCTTCCTCGCTGCTGCCGTGTTCCACCCAGAGCCCGCGATATCAGCGCCAAGGCCGTAGGAGCTAACGGGGCGGTCGCCGTGAAAGCTCATGCTTCCGCGATGGTGGTATCCGCCGCCATGGGGTAGCGTAGGCTGAATCATCACCGACGACCAGTCCAATGCATCGTTCGACTTGGTGTAGATCGTCAAGGGGTGAGACAGCGGGCCTGTGCCGGCGAAGGGGTTCGTAGAGCTGAAGCGCTGCGAGGCACGAACGTTTGCTGTCGCGGCGAAGGGACGGGGAATCGCCATGCCAGCACTGCTAGGCGGTGCGAGGCCGCCGTGTCCACCACTGGGCAGGCCCGACATGGGCCGGTGCGAAGTCATCGAGTGAGACGAGCCAGGCCGGGCGTTGGCACCGTACGAGAACGGTGCCGCGGGGCGGGGGAGGCCTTCGAGCTCGTCTTGAAAGTACTCGTCCAGGACGTAAACCGACCTTAGGTTTGGCATGCCGTTGCCCCTGAGCGATGCCGCCAGATATGTATAGTAACTAGCCGTCACACTGGAGTAGGGGCCCGCCGACTTGTGCGCGGTGATCTCGAAGCGCAGCGACTCTAGAGAGGTCGACGCGAGCCGACGCGTTCTTGGCCCGCTTTTGAAAGCGTCGCTTACCGAGGCCTCGATGGCGAGCGTCTGCAGGTTCGTAGCCGCGGACAGAATATCGGCTAGAGTCGCGGGGTGAACGCCTGTCTTGAGGAGGGACAGGACGAGGAGATGGTTGCGGGTATCGGCGCGGCCCAGGTAGTCAACCAAGCCGTTGGCGGTGACGGAGGGGGTGTTGCTGAGGATCAATTCCTCTAGGGGCGGGAAAGGAGGCAGCTCTTCGTTGCGGGCGAAAATGTCATCCGAGAAGGCTTGCGAATCCATCACCTTCAAAGCGCGTAGCGTCCGCAGGTTTGCCAGAGCATGTCGCAGAACGACCGGGTCCATGCTGATCTTGATCAGTTCGAGGACCTCGAGGTTCTGCCATATTCCGCCGTAGGCGAGCTTGGACAAGCTGCCTTCGGCGCCTGCCTGGTAGGTCATCTTACGGAGATCTCGGCATCTAGCCTCGACCTCGAGCCTCAGCGTGGCATATCCGTGTTCGTCGGCGAAGAGACCTTCGGGCAGGTCGACGTAGACAAGATTCGGTAGCACGTGAATGATACGGGCGAGATCGGCTGTGGCGGCTTCACGGAGCATGTAGGGCACTTTCAGGTAGCGAACCCGGGCACCGAAGCGCGTGGGGTCTTCGCGCAAGGTCCTACACAGCAACTTCAGGCGAGCGGTGGGGGTGTCTTCAGGGTCGGCGTTACGCTTGAAAAAGGTCTTGCGCTTGCGCTGCTCCGACAGGTAGATCTCGCGAGGGCAGTAGTGGACGGCGTCGATGCGGATGCTGTGGTACCTAGAGCAGAGCAAAGTCAGGGCAATCCAACATAGGGGGAAGGGGGGATGAGAGGTGGCGTACAGTAGGGCGTTTGCCACCTTGTTCCATTCCCAGCAAACGCGCGCGCAGTGGGCCAGATCTCTCAGGTCGCATAGCATGCAAGCGTCGAATATGGCGCTCGTCTCGCACGTCTCGTACGTCTCATCTTGTGTGTGGGGGCAGACGAAGGAAAAGATGCGAGGGAGAATGTTCTTTGGCAGACTCTGCAAAAGGGCGGCCGAGGCTCGGGTAGGGATGTGGGTGCCGGGAGGCGAGACGACGTTGCGGTAGTTCTGCTGGACCTGGGACGAGTACTTGGACAATTGATGATCGGTGAAGTCGTGAGATTTTTGCTGCTGATGGCCCAGCTGATGCTGCTGCTGCTGCTTCTTCTTGTCCTTATCTCTGCGAAAAAAACCCATTTTCTGTAGAGGCCGAACGGCGAGCTTCATGTCCGTTGGGGGGGGGGGGGGGGGGAAGACGGAGAGGAGGAGGGGGGAAGGAGGGCAAACGACTTGCCAAGGGTGTGATGTGATATCAGGGGAGGGGGGGGGATGGTATGTTAAATCAACGGGTCCCGGTGCAGTGAAGTAGCATTGGCCGGTCGGCACCGTCGTCTGGATGGGGGAGGGAGGCTTCTGCAGGTCCAACGCCACGGCCAACCAAAGTTTGACAGCGTGAGGGCGAAGTGGTTTTTGCTTTTGCTGGCAGTGGTCCGCCTGTCACGCTCGCTGTTCTGTGTTTTTTTGCGCCGAGCTGAACGAGGGGTCCGGGGTGATCGTAGTCTACCTACCCAAGGTACCTACCTACTAGTAGGTAGTAAAACCAACGGATAGGGTGACATATGTAGTGTAGGTAGTAACCCTTTCTACTTTGGGACGAGGTGTCAACGGGTTGTTGTCTGGGATGGCCTGGCAAGGCAGTGTAGGTGGGTAGGTATCCGTCCACCGTACAGATAGATACCTATTAGCATTCCCCCTAGGACGACGTAAATTCTTAATTTACCTAACCTTCAGATGAAAGTCTCAACAAGACAAATCGACAACAGCCGGCCGGGTGAGCTATGTTATTCATTCCCCCCCCTTCCTTTATTGGTGTCCCCGATGCCTACCTAGTGAGCCTTTGCCCAACAAAGAGGACACAACGGGAGGCCACACAGACAAAGAAAGACACGGAGGGCCACCAGGTACTGGGCAGTTGGATCGCGCTGGGGGTTTTAGTGGCTCCTTAATACCGTACGTCCCAATGTCCCTCTCCATTTAGCGTGCTCCCCACCTCGACGCGCCCATCCGTCCACGTATCCAAGGGACCCCTGAATGGGATGACCGTCAGTGTGGGGGAAGGGCCCTATACCGCTCCCGATTCGCCCTCGCTGCCGTCATCCCAGGAGGGCCCCCACCCCCCCTGATCTTCAGACGAGCAACAAACACGCGTCGATTCACACATCATCACTTTCACCCTCGCCGGCCAAGCCAATCAACTGCTTTTTCGAAACGAAACAACCTGTCCCCCCCCCCTCCCCTGCCGCCTGTCGTACCAAAATAGCATCACATTTTCC